TCCTGTAGAGGCGAGTCAGAGCTTGTTGGGAAGAGACTGGAAATAAGAGATTATGCTATTAACAATGCCAAGGAAAAAGTCTTCCTTCCCTGTGTTATTAGAGGTGGAATTCTTTGGTTGTCAGGTTTTGCCAAGTCTGTTCTGACAGTAAGGAAGGAATATGCATTACTAATACCTGTAAATGGGCTTCTGGGTTGATCTTTTTTAGGTGATTGTACTTCAGAAAGTAACTTGGGCCTCAGCTTAAAAGTCAGTTCTCCCAAAGTCAACCCCTTCCAAGGAGGGTGAAGAGTTTCTTCACTCAGTTGAGATCTCTGAAAACATCAGAAATGACAAATAGGTCAGGACAGATCTGCTGACTTCTGTGTTTTAATTGCCTTGCTACTTTTGTGTTAGTTTAAATAAATAAAGACACACTTTGAAACACTGCCTGGGTTTGTGGTGCACCTTGGTGAGTCTAAACACGGAACCTGTGGCAGCAGAAGAGGTGACTCTCTTTGGGGCAGACTAAGGCTTATTTATTAGAACAGTCATCAATTAGCAGTGCCCTCTGACAAACAACCAGCTGAGACTGTGAGCAGCAGAGAGGAAAGGACTCTTCTTCACCAAAGTGGCTGTCCTTCACTGGACATAAAGAACCCAGGTAGGTATATTTTGCCTTTCTCGTGTATTTTTTCCCTATTTTTAATCTATTTCTGTCCTTAGCTTCCCCTGCCATTGGTGTATTTGCTGCATTCTCCAGTCCTCACCTGAGCATGTTGGGACTCAGCCTGTTCCAAACAGTGGGAGATCCCACAGCCCTCCTCTTGCAAGGGATTCGTTATGCCAGGACACCCCAAGGAACTCGGGTCACCCTCATGCCCCACCTGCCCTTAAAGCAACGTGGCACAGAGAAAACAGGCACAGAAACAGTGAATTCTGACAAGAATCCACCAGGACTGCATCCCCTTCTCCCACAGGTGGGAACAAGGGATTAAACACCCCAAAAAACGCCGCCAGTGCTGGGTCACTGCACCCCTGTTGTAGCATTAAATGATTCAACATTTTCCAGCCATAACAGTTCAGGTTCTGAAGTGAATGTTTCCAATAATTTATTCCCAGTTTGGCTCTGCTGTCAATGCAGGGCTGGAGACCAAACTGCTCATGATGCATTGCTGCTGTCACCATAAGCGGGAATGTTTGACAGGCACGAGGAAATGGAAACAGGACAGAAACTTAATTCCCTCCTTCCTCTTCCAGAATTGTTCACCCTGATGTCTGTTTTAATCCTGCAACGTTCTGCTCTCTTTTCTCAGTGTGATGTGCAGCACCCTGGACCATGCAGCTCTCACAGAGGTGCTTGACTTTGGGAGACGGGAATTTTCTCTGTAAAACTCCCCACTTTTAAAAACAAATCTTTTCCTAGCAATTATTAAGATGTGACTCCAGTAAATGGAAGCATTTAACTGTGGTGCTTTCACATATGTAAAAAAACTTATCCCATCTGTTTCTGTCAGAAACGAGTCAGTTCTGTGCAACCTTTGAAAATGGTAAGTTTTGATGTTTGTGTGGGGAGGATTTTTTTAATTATATTTTACAACTTACTCTGTCGCTCCAAGGAATTGAAAGGGAACTCGTTGTCATGCAAACCAGTGGGGAGTGCTGGATCAGCTGGAGTTTGGAACTGGGGAAAGTTCCACAGCGTGGCTTTGAGCAGCTGGAAATACTTAAAACCTCCAACTGCTGCACTGCATTGTCTAAGTAAAAGCAATTGCTGCAGTTACATTTTTATTAAAATTGGATTTAAATCAGTAAAAGCAAAGACAAGTTTACTGGTGATCTTTACCCAGGAGCCTCTTTATTCTCGATCTTTTGTATTATTTCACTTTTAGAACATATTTAAAGATCAGCTTAGGACAAAATCAATCTGCCAAGCATCTGGCACACTTCCTGCTGCATTCACTCCTTGGAGCGGGAGGAAAAGCCATCCTCATTTAATCATTGGAAAATGCAGGAGGAATTGTAAAACTGATCAAAAAATCAAACATCTTTCTTTCGTAAAACATCCCAAGAAACTTCTTGTGAAGCTGCAGTTCTTGATTTACTGTTACACATGTACCTCCTCCATCACCACTCTGTTTGATCAAGAATTTTTATTTTTAGGCAATACACTGGCAAAGCTCAAATCATCACAGGAGAGAAGCACACAGAGCACTTGGGCCATGGAAGTGTTTGTTCAGCAGACGTTCCCCAAGGAGCCTCGTCGCAGGCAGGCTCCTGGTTTAGGATCCCCGTGTTTGCTGCGCCACCTTAAACCGCATGGAGAGCACATCCTTGATCCCAGCCTCTATCTCATCGTTGGCCTCCACGGACCCAACTCCTTTGGGAGAGCCTGTCAAAATCAAGTCCCCTTCTTCCAGGGGGAATACTTGACTGATGTAGCTGATGAGGTAAGGGATGGAGAAGATCATGGAGGAGGTGTCCCCCTCCTGCCTCAGCTTTCCGTTCACCTTGAGCCAGATCTGCAGCTTGTGAGGGTCTGGGATCTTCTCCTTGGGCACAAAGTCACTGACCGGGCAGGAGGAGCCGAAGCCCTTGGCCAAGGTCCAGGGCAGCCCCTTCTTTTTGCACTCCTCCTGCGTGTCCCTGGCCGTCATGTCCAGGCACAGGGCATATCCCGCCACGTGCTCCATGGCAGCCTCCTGGGACACGGCCTGGGCCCTCCTGCCGATGACCACCCCCAGCTCCACCTCGTGGTGCAGGTTGCGGCAGTAGTAGGGCCGGAGGATGGGCGACCCTTCGCGCACGTAGGCCGAGGAGGGCTTGAGGAAGAAGAGGGGCTCCGTGGGCAGGGCGCTGCCCATCTCCTTGGCGTGCTCCGCGTAGTTGCGCCCCACGCACACGATGTTCCTGCCCCACTCCCAGAAGCGGGACAGGGGCCTGGAGGAGGCCATGGCCGCGGCGCGTCTCCTTCCCGGAGCAAGGCGGCCGCCCTTGGGCTGTCCTT